GGCCTGCTGCTGCCGGTGGGCCCGGCCGACTGCTGGAACGTGGTGCCCGGCAATTACCGGCGGTGCGCCGTGTGCCGGTTCCAGGCGCTCGGCAATGGGTTTTGCCGGGCCGCCGCGCAGCCGGTGCCCGGCTGCCAGCGCCTGGCCCACCCCCACATCAATGAGGACTGCGCGGTGTGCGAGCCGGGCTACTGCCTGGACAGCAATCACAAGTGCCTGCCGGTCGAGGCCCAGCCGGCCGGCGACCTGTGCGGCGACCGGTGCTTCGGCCAGGCCCTGCGGCCGGACGGCTTCGACTGCGCCGCCTGGCCCATGGCCACCATGGCCCCGTCGGACGATGAGCCGGCCGGCCGGCCGGAGCACCGGCACCTGCTCCGGTGCAGCGCCCCGGGCGTGTGCTTCCAGTGCCACGACACGTGCGACGAGTGCGCCGGGCCCGGGCCGAAGGACTGCACCGCCTGCCCGGCCGGGCACTTCCTCCTGGCCCACGGCGCCAAGGACTTCCCCCAGGCCCGGGTCCATGTGGGGACCTGCATCCGGGGGCACAATGCCCAGGGCGACCCGGCCGCCCCGGCCGGCTGCCCGGCCACCACGGTCAACACCGGGCAGGACGTGTGCGTGGCCTGCCGGCAGGACTGCCTCACATGTGACCCGGCCAATCCGGGGCACTGCCTGTCCTGCATGCGGGGGTTCTTCGCCTGGCCGGATGGTACCTGCTCGGCCACCTGCCCGGAGGGCATGGTCAAGGACTCGCTGGCCGGCCGGTGCGTCCACTGCACGGTGGACCACTGCACCCGCTGCGTGACGGATAACCCGGGGGTGTGCATCGCCTGCCACGCCGACCGGCCGATCCTCTTCCACAACCAGTGTGTGGACAGCTGCCCGCCGGGGTACCGGCGGTCCGGCACCGCCTGCCTCCCCTGCAAGGCCAATTGCCTCGAGTGCGATGGAGGCCCGGACAGCTGCTCCACCTGTCGCAGCGGGTTCTTCCTGCGCAATGACACCTGCCACAGTGAATGCGGCTGCACGCACTTCTGGGACGAGGACACCCCCGGGGCCGAGCCCGGGTGCCGGATTTGCAGCGCCGCCTGCCACACGTGCGCCATCCGGGCCACCAACTGCGTGACCTGCCTGCCGGGCATGATGCTGGTCCTGCCGCGCCATGCGCACGAGGACCACCAGTGCGCGGCCACCTGCCCGGCCGGCTGGTACAAGTCCGGCTCCCTGTGCAAGCCCTGCACCGATCCCAAGTGCGTGGGCTGCTACGGGGGCGGCAACACCTGCCACACATGCGCCCATGCCCATGCGGCCTTCGAGCGGCGCGAGTGCTTCAACCCCTGCCCGGAGGGCTACTACAAGTACGACAAGGCGTGCCTCAAGTGCGGCGGCGGCTGCGGGACCTGCTACAATGGCCTCGGCATCGGGTGCATCACCTGCCGCGTGGACCCGAACACCCGCATCCCGTTGGTCAAGCGCATGCAGCCCGGCACCTTCGACCACACCCTCAACGCCCAGTGCGTCAGCTTCACCACCATCCAGGCCGGCTGGGGGCTGTACTTCCAGGACCAGAAGAACCACTACACCGTGCCGTGCCCGGAAAACTGCGCCGCCTGCTTCGTCGACCACCCGCACGACCCGGAACTTCGGACCCTCCAGTGCACCGAGTGCGCCAGTGGCTTTGTTCTGGCCGACGACCGCCAGACGTGCGTCCGGCCGGACGCCGAGGACTCCTCCGCGTGAGACATGTGCGCTGGTCGGCCTGCGAGCCGGGGGTCGGCCGGGCGGGGCCTGGCCAGAGCGTGGGCGGCCCCGGAACACAGTCGCAGCCCCTCGGCCCGCGGCCCTTCTAATGGACCATACTGCGGATCGTGCACACGGGTCACCAGAGGTGGTGTCATCGGCGAGCCGAGGCCTGAGAGAGGCAGGGAAGGAGAGGATCGGAGGGGCAGGGGGAAGTAGAGGGTCGGAGGGGCAGGGGGAAGCAGAGGGTCGGAGGGGCAGGGGGAAGTAGAGGGTCGGAGGGGCAGGGGGAAGCAGAGGGTCGGAGAGTCAGGGGGAAGCAGAGGGTCGGAGAGGGCAAGGAGAAGAAGAGGCTGAGAGGGCAAGGGGGAAGTAGAGGGTCGGAGAGGCGGGGGGAGGCAGAGGCTGAGAGAGGCAGGGAGCGGACAAAGCGCGGACACCCGGGCCCAGTCCTCGGAGTGGCAGGGGAAAAAAAGCCCCTCCCGGATGCCCGTGGGGCCGGGAGCCGAAGGAAAAAATCCGCCCCCCTGGGACATGTCTGCACACAACGACGCCCGCGGCGGCTTCCCGGCGTACCCGCATTTTATTGGCTGTTTATTGCCTCCCAACAAAAAGTCCTTGCCGCAAACATCGCCTGAAATAGACCCCCCCCCCCTGCGGCCATCGATCGCCGGGGAGTGATCGGGAAATATTGGCCATGGCCGTGCTGGCGGCGCGGATCGGCAAGCGTGCGAACGGGGGAACGCGAGTGCATTGGCAGCTGCCGTCCGAAGTGTCTCACCCACAAGTCGCCCTTCGTGAGTCGGGATGCTGGCCGGGTCCACCGCCCGGCCCTGCCCACCGCCCGGCCCTGCCCACCGTTCGCCGGGCCACGGGGGGGGGAGGCCATTCGTCTCGCGGGCCCGCAGGCCGAGGAGTCGCGACGGGCCCCTCGCGCAGCAGGCCGGGGGACGTCTGTGTGGGCACGACCGTGCGCGCGCGCGCCTGGCAACGGGCCCCTGCCTGTGGGCGCAGTGTGGCCGGGGCGGGGCGCATGCAGGGGGGCCGCAGCCCCGGGGTCTGGCCACGACCACCCCCCCCCCCCCCCCCCCCCCCGGGCGTGGGGCGGCACAAGTCGCCTGGGTGGGGAACGGACCGCCAGCCCCTGGCGCAGCTCCTGTGTGAGAGGCCGCCGCATGCATTGTTTGGGCGCGAGGGGAGGGGGTTGCCCCTGCGGCTGCCGCAACGACCGCGCCCCCGCCCCCTCCCGACTGTGGCTCGCCACACGGGAGCAACCGGCTGCAGGGCGGCGGTGCTGCCAGCCGGCATCGGCCCCAGGTGTGGGGCGTCCATCACGACGAGGCCCCTCCCTTTGTCCCTCCCCGCCCCTGTCCCGCCACCGCCGGCGTCCGTGTGGCCTCCATCGGGTCGGTGTGGCCGACGCCGTCCCGTGGGCCGGGCGCGCGAGCGCGCAGCCACACAGGGGGTGACAGTGCGCCGACCCGCGTCCCGAGGCCGGCCCGGAAGCCCGGGCGCAGGACGCCGCGCGTCAGGTGCCCCTGCTTGGACGCGCACCCGGCCGGGCCAACACCCTGCCCACACGCCTCCCAGCTGGGACTGCCCCCTGTGCATGCGGCCAGGTGTGTGCACGCCTGTGCGAGGGGGCCCATGTGCCCGGATCGAGGGGCGGCGCTCCCGGGCGGGCGCACTGCCCCAGCTAGGGATCTATCCTCGGCTCTTCGGCGGGAGCCTGCATGGGCCGCCCCGCCTCGGCGAGGGCCAGTTATAAAGATGCACCTCGGCACACGGGGCAGCCGGCTCCGATCGCCACCGCGCTCCGAGCCAGCTCCACCGCCCAACCTCCCTGCTGGACCGCCAGCCAACACCCACACGCACAATCGCGCACCCACACACAGAGACAGACATCGACCGGTACACACTTACACAGGGCCCTACCCACACGCACAATCGCGCACACGCACAATCGCGCACACAGGCGCACACGCCCGGCCAGCATCACACGAAGTGCGCACGCACGCACGCGCCCACCCATCTGGCCCTTGCCGCCGCCGCGTCGCGGGCCCGTGCCGTCTGCACGCCAGCCACCCGGGGCCCGGCCCTCGCGCCTGCGTCTCATGCCTGCCGCGGCCATGCCCGGCGGGGGTGCCGCCGCCCCTCGGCAGACCCCCCTGCTCGGACTGATGGTCATGCTCCTGGCCAGCCTCATGGCCCTGGCCGCCGGCCAGCAGCCGGCCCTGCCGACCAGCGACTATTGCAATGGCCCAGGTGCGCCAGGGCCCACGAAGCCCCCGCGGGCAAGGGACCATGCCTTTTCCCGTGCCCCGGCCCCGCCGGCGGCCGGCCGCGCCGACTGACACCCGCCCCCCCCCCCCTGTGGCACCGGGCTGGCGCCGCGCCCGCAGGCGAGACCGCCTACTCCGGGGGCTGTTACCCGGCCCTGCGGCGCTGCCAGCGGTCCATCTACACCCAGGCCGACCTCATCTGCACCCAGTACAAGCCGGAGTACCACACGGTCGATGGGTTTGGCTTCCTGGCGGAGGAGCTGCCGGACCTGGCGGTATCCGGGGCCGGGCTCGTGCAAATCGGCCCGGCCGACTGCTGGAACGTGGTGCCCGGCAATTACCGGCGGTGCGCCGTGTGCCGGTTCCAGGCGGCCGGCGACGGCCTCTGCCGGCCGGAGCCCCTGGCCCATGCCCAATGCACGGCCCTGGCCCACCCCCACATCAATGAGGACTGCGCGGCGTGCGCGCCCGGGCACTGGCTGGACCTGGACCGCCGGTGTGTCGACACCTGCCCGGCGGCCAGCCACCTCGCCTGCGGGGCCCACTGCATCCCGCGGCACCGGGTGCCGGGCGGCTTCGAGTGCGCCGCCTGGCCCATGGCCACCATGGCCCCGTCGGACGATGAGCCGGCCGGCCGGCCGGAGCACCGGCACCTGCTCCGGTGCAGCGCCCCGGG